CAGCGCAGGGCCTGGCCATCGCCCCGCGTTCCCAGCAGGGAGCAGGACCCGGGGGGCCTCGCGGGTGCCACCGCTGGCTCCTGTTGCTCTCCATCCCATGGGGCCGTTCTGCATCCCCCCAGCTGTGGTGTCTGTGACCTTGTACGACCACCTGTTACAAATAAACTGACCGACTCGACCCAGCAGGGGCCAGCCGCTTGCTTTCTAGGCTGACGCGTCTCGCTGACTGGGGGGTCAACCCCAACCGCAACCGGTGTGCTGAGCCTGCCAGCTGGGGCCTGGCCTGCCGAGGGGACAACGGGAGGCCCCCCCAAAGGAAAAGCAGGAGGGACCTAGGTCAGGCAGGAGTGCAGAGTTGACAGCAGGTGTGGGCTCAGCTCAGGCTGGCTGATGAATCCCGACCCTCCAGGGAGCTGAGAGCTAATCAGGTCCCTGAGCAGACACTGACTGTCGGATTTAGCAGCGGGGGTGGCCTTGATTCTGCAGACTAACAGGCAGCGATTATGGGGCCTTGTGGCCCTTGGGGAGGTTGCAGAGAGCCTGGATGGATCCGATGGTAGAAGCAGCTGCCCCCTGGCCTGACACAAGTCAGCCCCAGGGTCCAATGCAGAGCTCTCTGGCTGGAGCTAGAGTCAGCGACAGAGCCGAGATGTGGGTTCATTAAGCAGCGGCCTGCGCCCAAGTGAAGAGAACCCATTTGGCCTGTGAACGCGCTGGCCTCCTGCAGACCGCATGGCAGGCCCAGGGTGTAATGTGACCACACCAGCTCCCCTCGCTCGGCCTGCCTCTGCTGGCTACTGCCCACGCTGTCCTTCCCGAGAGGACCTGGGCTAGTGAAACTGTCCCATAGCCTTGAAATGAAATACCCGCCCCACCTGCCTGTTGTGAAGCAGCCCCTGGCAGAGCCAGGCGAGCAAACCCCAGCGCTCTGAACCCGGCTGGATTTCAAACGAACAAGGCGCTAACCAGACCAATCCCTCCTCAGCTAAGATTTAACGCCACAACGCCCTCGTCTGAAAGAAACCGCCTCTGCCCAGGAGGCTGGAATAACCCCTGGGGGGTGGCAGGAGGGTTTGGTTTCTGATTCTCTTCTGTCCAGCTTTGCCTCTCAATGGCTTTATTCGACTCAGAGCAGTTCCTTTCCTAGGCTCCCACAATCACCAGCTCTCTGAGACTCCAGGCCACTTGGCTGTTTCCAAGCACAGGGCAGCAAACTGCCTGGAACCTGAGAGGCAAGGCAGGACCCGCCTAGTGATCCCTGGACCCAAATGGCCTGGAAACCCCCATGGAACAAATCTGCATAGCTCACCCCACCTGCTGTATGTAGTGCCTTCCTTCTGCCAGCTGCTCTGTGCTGGACCCCCACCGCCAGGCCGGTGCTGTCAATACCCTCCGCTTTCTGCCTTTCTCCAGCAGAGTCCTGCACTAAGCAGGGTGGGAAGAGCTACACCCAGCAGACACGATGATTAGATCCAACAGACTTTTTCCTGCCCTCTCATTACTCTTACTAGGTCAGACAAGCCAAGCTGGGACGGAAGGATTTAAAGATTAGTTTCACAGCTGTTAAGCTCCACCCAATATAATATTCAAAAGTCCACAGACCTTATCTGAGCCAACTGCCAGGGAGCTGCATTTCCTGTGTCCTACTCTCCATCATTACAGCAGCAAGAGAACAGGTATCTCATATAGTACATGAGAACCCTTCAGTTTCCTCTGCTCTGGAATTCAGTGTCCTGATCAGAATCTCGCTACAGGTTTCCCTCTGCTAAACATCGGTGTAGTTGGCTTATGGTTGGTAGCCTAATAAATCTTGCCTGCTCTCCAGACAAGCCCGGGGTGACCGCACTAAACAGGATCTAACCACAGAGAGAGGGACTGCTCTCTGCCACGAGTATTTTGCTCCCACTCTCTGCCTGGAAAGGTGCATCACTTGATTGTGCCTAAGCATCAGCACAGCCCATGCCCCATGGGAGTCCCCAGGGTAGTGGTTCCAATGGCCATTAATGCAGGGACTGGAGACAGCCTTTTAGGGGAGGGAAGGCCTTGCACAGACAGTCTCTGGGCCTCCCAGGAAAGGACGAGCACCTCTGGAGTCAAGAAATCTCACAGGTCGGGTTTTAGGTTGAATCACTCAGGTGTATTCGCTGCATTTCCAAAACTCCAGAAGCCAGTAGATCCTGACCACCCCCACTGAGCTGGTCCCCCAGCCAGACGAGAGGAGCTCTCTGTCCAGGGCCAAGGGGTCCATTTCTAACACGCAAAGCACACTCTGGGGGGTGCAGTGCATCACCAGCCTGACCTCACTTCTGAGTTTTCATTGCTGTCACCACCACCCCCACCATGAGGGCAACAACGGTGAAGCCCTGAGCCAGGACCCGAGCTCGCATCATCATCTGAGACTGGCGGGTGTTCCCCTTCTGGAAGCAAATGAGTCCATAGGTCAGAGCCCCTGCAGTGGCGAGGCAGCCTGCAGAGAAGGACAGAGGAACAACAGTGCAAGGTTATTAGGGGATGTTAGGCTGAGATCTGTGGGGCAGGGTTCAGGGCCCTGGGGGCTGCCACCCCTCACTCCCTCCACCCCTCTCCTCAAACCTAAATGTCTCCTCTCTCCACACCTCTTCTCCCCTGCTTCAGCTTCCAGTCCCCAGCCGCTGGTTGGAAGGCCTTGAACCACACCCCCAGGCAGAGGGGGCCACAGGTCATACCCCATGTCCTGAGCACTGCACGGAGCGGGGAGGCATCACTCAGCTCCGCTGCCTCCAACGTGCCTCAGTTGCTCCCTGCATCCCCTCTGACTCTGGGCCCCAGGCTCCCAGGCCGACAACTCCCCCTGTGCCCCCAGGATCTGCCCTTCTCCCAAACACCTCCCCCGGCACCCTCGGATCCGCACCCCCAGTCCAGCA